TGAACAAACTGTCCCATGGTAAGAAACACTATGGAACAGTTTGTTCAGAATATTTTTTTTTCTGGGTTTCCTCCTCTAAAAACTAGGTGCGTCTTATGGTGAGGTGCGTCTTATGGAGCGAAAAATACGGTAAGTTTAGAAAAAACAACTAGTACAGTTGTCCAAAATAATTAGCATCTTTTGTTTTAAAAGAAGAAAACAACAGAGAGTTCAATGATACAAATTTTAAATAATGATATAAATAGATAAAATTAAGCTTATATTTATTAGTATCTCCAACAAATGCAATACATACACACAGACTGCTGAACACATTCACACACCGACTGCTTAATACACACACACAATGACACACAGACTGACTGCTAAATACATACACACAGTCCGCTAAATACACACACACAAACACACACACAGTCCGCTGAATACACACACACACACACAGCAGAATACACACACACACACTGCTGAAAACACACACACTGCTGTATACACACACACAAACTGCTGAATACACACACACTGCTGAGTACACACACACACACTGCTGAGTACACACACACACAAGCTGCTGAGTACACACACAGAGACTGCTGAGTACACAAAGACTGCTGGATACATACACACAGTCTGCTGAATACACACACAGTCTGCTGACTACACACACATAAAGATCGCTGAATACACACACACATACTGCATTGAGGGGTGCAGTGTGTTTGTGTGTAAGGGTGTGGAGTGCTGTGTGTGTGTGTGTGTGTGAGGTGCTTTGCTGTGTGTGTGTGAGGGGTGCCGTGTGTGGGAGTAGGGGTGCTGTGTGTTAGGGCATAGGGGTGCTGTGTGTGGGGGTAGGGGTGCTGTGTGTGGGGGGGTAGGGGTGCTGTGTGTTTGGTGGGGTACGTGTGCTGTGTGGGGGGTAGGGGTGCTGTGTGTGGGGGGGTAGGGGTACTGTGTGTACTGTGTGTGTGGATAGGGTGGGGAAGATGGATTTAAAAAAAGTATATTAAACCTGTATCCCCCCCCTTCATCTTACCTTTGGTGAAGGAGGGAGGACACAGCCATACCTGGTGGTCTGGTGGTTGTAAGTATGTGACAGGTCCTGCAGCTCTCCTGTCCTCCCGCGCGAAGCTGTGTGGAGCGTTGCCATGGTAAAGTGTGGCAACGCTCCACACAAATTGCTCGCGGGAGGACAGGAGAGCAGCTTCTCAGATCCCTCCCCATGTCCTCCCGACACGGAAGCAGAGTAGGTGCCTGCCCCGTTTTGTGCAGGCAGGTGCCTACTCTGCATTGATGGTGAACCTATGGCCGCATGCCCAAAGAGAGGGCCCGGCGTGCCACCTGACTTACACCAATTTCAGAATTCTATTTCCTGTCCATTCCTCTGTGAGGGGAGGAGTTAATCCTTAGTCCTCAATCTTTAATGCTGCTATTTTTGATCAGAAAAAAAGAGGCCTGATTTTAGTTTGTAACCTATATTTAAAACACATGAGTTTTATTGTCTTTCTTCACAAAAATGCCAGTTAGAATGCTCACAAAAATCAATAACAGGTGTATATGCATTTAGTATAATGTATATTTCTCTTGTATGTTATTTATGCTTATGACCCTCTGAGAAGGATTGCAAAATAAGTGAAATTATACAATCTGTTAATTTGTTCTGTTTTTTTCCCTATTACTTTTTTATTTCCAAAGAGCGAACAGATAAATGGAAAATAAAAATGTAAATAATTTACATATATTACATTTTACATATGCTTGAAGATTAGTTTGCAATATACTAAATAATAAATGTTACCATTTTTTTTTTTTTTTTATTCAGTAGTGAAAAGGTTGATGTTTTCATGAATCAATACTAAAAATATTTAGGTGTGTTAACCTTTATATTCTTAACAGCAGCAACTTATACAATATACTTCCTTTACTTTTATTTGTTCTCTAGTGATTTACCATGCTCCTCATTCAATAAGCAGGTTGAGAATAGCATTTTTTTTTTTTTTTTGCATCAGACTATTTTGAATGATGTATCGAAGAAGAAGAAAAAAAAGCACAGAATCTCTAGAATGAGTTTGAAGGGATTTGGAAAGGTGACATTCAAAAGATAAGGACTTGTAAGGGAATTTTCACATTTAAAATACAAAGTGAAAAAAAGGCAATTTGAAAGCAACTGCAGCAATAAAGACGCCAACAGATGGTCTCCAAAGTGAAAACATATTTTCTCATCAAACATAGCGTATTGCTTTTTTTAACCTCCTATTCCTGAAAAGGAAAAAAAATCAAATTTTTCATTTTAAAACATTTTTTTTTAGGGAACCTTTGATTGTCATCTATGTAAATGACAATTATGCTGGTGCACTAAAAGGTATCACTAACTGCAGTACAACACTCTTGCATGACCTTGTTTAAATGACAAAATAAATGGCTTTATATCCAAATAGCACACCACCATTATTCCAAACAAGGTGAAAGTAAAAGCCTATATTAAAACGGCACAACTAATAGCTATCTGACCCAGGGCTCCAAGTGTTCAAAGAGAAAGAAACGTTAAAGCTATATAGTAACCACATTGAATGATGCTAGACATAGTGTATAGCTAAAAGTTACATAATAAATTTAACCATTTAATTTCTGAAGCATTGTGACACCCAGGGTTAACCCTTATTTTAGAAGTTAACCTTATTAGAAATGGTTAATTCTTGCAAAGCTAGGAATAAATTGTATGATGAACATATTATAAGATTTCTCAAACAACAAACAAACATAGATTCTAATTTTAACATATTTTGTTTACATCTACAACCACGACTGCATCTTTTTTTTTTTTCTGTGTAAATCCAACGAAGGCTGGCCTGTTGATTAAAATGTAATTATAAGATAATGATAGCAAAATAATGACATGCTAATTAAAACTAATTACTCTGCACATGCACATGACAGTGTATATCATAGTCCGTTTAATCACTGTGTACAGTATCTGGTATAACACAAGCATAATTGCTCAAATCAGTATCAAATACAAATAATTGCAAATAATGACCTCTCTCTTACAGCTTGGTATGGGGAGCTAATTAGAACCAATGAAGAATGTGTCCTTTGGTGGGTACAGGTGACATCATTAGGATTCTATAGAATGTTCTTATTTTAGGATTTGTTGTGATTCTCATGAGGAAGGCAGTGTGCCCTGGGCTTGCCAAGATCAGGTGCAGCCCAGGTTAGCAGCTGGAATCCAGCTGTGAGAATGAGAGGAAAGAGACTATGACATCCTCAATTGCATCTTCTGTTCTGTGGTCAGCAGAAGTCGCTAGGACCCCGTGGATCTGAGTGGGTATTAGCAGCAGAGCAGGGCTGCACTGAGCATGCGCAGTGTGGGGCTTGTAGCTTTGCTTCTCTGTTAGTTACTGATATAAACAGCTGGAGCTAGTGAAACACACACAATGCAGGCAGGCACAGAGCACTGAGCGCTTGCTGGGAGGCACTCACTGCACATCCTGACGCTGGTACAAGCAGCCAAGCATGGGACTGGAATTCACCCTGGATTTGTCCTTTGATTGCTGAGATCTCACACTGCTGGGCTGTACAGAGCATACTTTTTCCATCCCCCTGTGATAAGCAGGTATGTTCCAATCGGTTACTTTCTATTTTCTTGGAAGACTCAATGCTGATCCTCATGTCAACTTATTTCAATGACGGAGACAGAATCCTGGATGCATCAAATGTATTTTATTGGTCCCTGAGACTTGTGTCTTGTTGTTTGTTAGAAGTTTGTGGTAAGATGGCATTTTAGGTAAACTGTGTTACTATAACGCTTTCAGTGATACATGTTTCCACTTTGAATCAGTCTGCAATAAACGGAAAAGCAGAGATCCACAACCCTATAGATCTCCAGCAGGCTTGGAACTACAAATCCCTTGATGCTTTGCCATCCTTAAGGTCTAACTTCAAGCAGTATAGCAGCTGTGGTTCTATACTTTGGCCACCCTTAAATGAAAGGATCTCGAATTAAACGTGCTTGGGAGAAATGCTCTCTGTTGTCTCTTGTGGGAAAGAAGTCGTCTGTGCACAGGTTAATTCAAATGGGATATTGTAGCATTCTTAGCTGCTGTAGATAGAGGATGAGCACAATGAGTTTAATTTATTATTATTATTATTATTATT